CCTCTACATCTGTTCAAACCCCAACACACAAAGTGTGATTTTAAGAGGCTAATCTGTAGTTCAGTCCGTTTGATGGGATTTTCCAGTGAATTCTTGTGAATGTGGCAGTGCAATTACATCTGTAAGTATTAGTTTTGTATTTTGGTATTTATCTCTCTGGTGAAAAGTGATATTTAAAGGAAAAAACTGAATGAATCGATTAAGATTCCTGTTGAAGTGTCAGGGTGTTAAATTAGGTGGAAAAGTACTAATTTCTGTGTTGAGAGAAAACAAGAAAAACATGGATAACAGGCAAAGAGTTTCTAGGAAGTTCATTTCTACCCAAAAATGGAAAAGAAAAAAATCTCCTCCCTGTGCATAGTAACTGTAAGGAAATGAATGCATGTGCGTCTATATCCCCCATTTAACCCCATGAGGCACAAAAGCTGAGCCATGTGACCACCAGCTCCTCTGTCAGTAGCCCTTTCCACATTCCATAGGACAGCAATCCTTGGTGGCCCCTCCCACCTTCTGAGCCTGCGATGAAAAACTAACACAAAAAGCACATAAAATGAAATAAGGCAAAAACGTTGCTTCTAAATTTGTTACTGTGATCTAATAAAATTAACATATTCTGTCACCACCAGTTATGCAAAGCAGCATTTTAAGGTGAATCGAAGTAAAAACAGACGGGTAAAAATAGAACAGCTATTTAAAGTACAGACTTTCAAGCTTTGACAGACTTTTCGGTGATGAACCCAGGGGACAGTACTGCATTTTACTAAAGTAGTCATATAAAAATATTTAATCATCTCATACACGCCAGCACACACTGGCCTGGCTGTTGCAAATCGGCATTCAACATTGCTAGTGCTGTTGAAGTGACCCAGTCCAAAGTCAGCAGCACCTTGATGATGATCTGCACGAGTTTGACATCTACATTATACAAAATACAGAAGACTGCAACATCATCCATTGGTTTCTGAACTTTACCCTTTAAAGCCTTATTTGTTTTTATTATTCAAATGCTTTTATTACATAAAAAGCACATTAAAGCCAGAAGTTGAAAATGCCACAAATGAAGAAGGATGGCTGTCAGAAGCTACTCTTAAGGAAGGGAAACAATCAGGACAGGCAGGTGTATGCTAGATTACACAGGAACTGGACTGAATATCAAAAGCACAGGTCATATGGAATAATGAATCCAAATTGGAAATTTTCAAATCACTGTAAATATGTACAGATGAGGTCAGGAGAGCATTATAAGAGTGAGTGTTAGATTTGTATTGTTTATTGTCATTTATGCTTAGAAATATTTAACCATATATGCTTAGAGGTGTATAATCGATTGTGTAGTGATAGGATGTGTGATCCTTAATAGTCTGCAAAG